CCTGCACCCAGAAAGCACTGTGGAGTCAAACAAGGATGGATCTGGACCAAACTTGGCACAAATACTCAATATGCCAAAATGTGAACACTGGTGGAGTTTGGGGGAAATAGATCTTGATATTTTGGAGTTGTCGTTGCTGGGATTTACAGTTCACCTACGATCAAAGAGCCCCTTGAATCCCACCAATGACAGAATTGGGCCAAACTTCCCACACACAACCCCTGTGACCAACAGAAAATACTGTGTTTTATGATGGTCTTTGGCAACCTCTCTGACATCCCCTTGCGACCCCCCCAGGGGTCCCGACCCCCAGGTAGAAACACTGCTATAGAAAAACAAATCATGCTTTTGAAGGCTTAAGCAGCAGATGTTGTCATTACAAATTGCAGAATGAACACAGTTTGACATCACATTAACTGCCATGGCTGAATGCTATGGGATGCTGGGATTTCTAGTTTGGTAAGCAGATACCAGTCCTCTGGAGCAGAGAAGGTTCAAGACCTTTTAAACTCACATCTTCTGTCTAATCTCAGAGCGCTTCCAGGCAGCCCTAATTCACGGGTTTAAAACAGGGGCAAAAAATCCTAGCACTTCAGAAGTGGTCCACAAACAAACCTGTTGGTCCCACGATTTCTGCCTCCATTGTCCAGACCTGATGCTTTGTTGCAAGATGGCTGCCGCGGGACTTCTTCTGGAAACTTTGGCAGTATTTTAAAAAAGCCAAGATGCAGATATGCAGATATGCGGAGAATCACTGCAGCTAATGACTCCAAAAGTTCAGTTTTTTTGTACTCGCCAGAGAAAATGTGCCCTCCACACATTTCATAAAGTTTCTAGCACACAAACAAAGTTTTTGCGTTCTATTCAACTGTCACCTTCTTTTTAGAGACTGGCCATAGAATCCTCGAATTCTAGAGTTGGAAAAGACCTGGTGGGCCATCCAGTCCAACCCAATTCTGCCAAGAAGCAGGAAAATCGCATTCAAAGCACCCGAGAGAGATTATCATCCAGCCTCTGCTTCAAAGTCTCCAATGATGGTCATCTGTTGGGGGTGCTTTGAATGCGATTTTCCACACTACGGGGAAGAGAGAGAGTTCCACTGCTGAACAACACTCTCTCACAGTCAGGAAGTTCTTCCTCATGTTCAGGTGGAACCTTCTGTAGTTTGAAGCCATTACTCCATTACGTCCTAGTTCCATGATGGCGAACCTATGACTAGCGTGTCAGCATTGACACGCATAGACATTTTCGATGACATGCGGCTGCATGCTGCTGCATACAGAGAAGTTTGGGTCTGCATCCCAAGAAGGACATTTCATCCTTGGCTCCTGCATGGCCAGGTGCAGACGCCGAGGATAAAACATTTGCAGTAGTTTAGCGTCTAGTTCTGGAACTTCCAGTTAGGCCGTTAGAGAATCTTTGGCCTCACTTCCGGCTGGGGTAGCAGGGAGCAGTGGAATGCCGTGGGTTACACATCTCTGGAGGCCCCAGCAACCACATAATCACAGCAACCATCATCCAATTTACTGTTCTGGGGTGTTGTGGATTTCTAAGTGACCATCATTACTGAGAAAAGTGAGGGGAGGAGGGAGCTGGGAGAGGCGAGAGTCTGAGTTACGGGTGCAATTTCCCGCCATATATTATTATTATACATTTTTGTTATTTAAACTATAAATATCACAAAATTATAGGGTTTTTTTTCTCGAAGTGACACCCCACCCAAAGTAACTCTTGCTTTTTGGTGAACTTTGACACACCAAGCTCAAAAGGTTGCCCATCACTGTCCTAGTCTCTAGAGCAGCAGAAAACAAGCTTGCTCCTTCCGTCACATCTTGATTCCTGGCCCTCATCATGTCTCCTCTCAGCCTTCTCTTCTGCAGGCTAAACATGCCCAGCTATTTAAGCCTCTCCTCACAGGGTTTGTTCTCCAGACCCTTGATATTTTGGTTGTTCTTCTCTGGACACAGTAGTCCAGCTTAAGAGTCAACATCTCCCTTCAACTGCGGTGCCCAAAACTGGACACAGTGTGATTCCAGGTAAGGCCTCCTCCCTCCTTATGGTTTCCCCTCAAATATTTATACATCAGGAAGAAAGATCTAAAATCTGTGATTTCCAATTGCGAGGACATACAGACATGCAAAGATCCAGATATTCAGCTCAAAACCACAATATTCCCGCACCTGGAAATCTCGCATTTTTTGCCTTTTGTAGTGATTGCTTCTGCGTTTACAGGGAACGGCATCTGGCCACCCTCCTGTTTGCTGCGGAAGCTCTTGGGGTAAAGGTACTGTCCGGATGGGCCCTCTGTTTAGTGTGTTGTAATGTGTATCTTGAGAATATATGTTTTAATATGTTTATTTTAAACAATGTTTTAGGTGAATGCATGTTTTACAATGTTGTCACCGCCTTGAGCCATGGAGGAATCATAGAATCATAGAAATAAAGAGTTGGAAGAAACCTCATGGGCCATCCAGTCCAATCCCCTGCCAAGAAGCAGGAATATTGCATTCAAATCACCCCGGACAGATGGCCATCCAGCCTCTGTTTAAAAGCTTCCAAAGAAGGAGCCTCCACCACACTCCGGGGCAGAGAGTTCCACTGCTGAACGGCTCTCACAGTCAGGAAGTTCTTCCTCATGTTCAGATTGAATCTCCTTTCTTGTAGTTTGAAGCCATTTTTTTCGCGTCCTAGTCTCCAGGGAAGCAGAAAACAAGTTTGCTCCCTCCTCCCTGTGGCTTCCTCTCACATATTTATACATGGCTATCATATCTCCTCTCAGCCTTCTCTTCTTCAGGCTAAACATGCCCAGCTCCTTAAGCCGCTCCTCATAGTGCTTGTTCTCCAGACCCTTGATCATTTTAGTCGCCCTCCTCTGGACACATTCCAGCTTGTCAATATCTCTCTTGAATTGTGGTGCCCAGAATTGGACACAATATTCCAGGTGTGGTCTAACCAAAGCAGAATATAGGGGTAGCATTACTTCCCTAGATCTAGACACTATGCTCCTATTGATGCAGGCCAAAATCCCATTGGCTTTTTTTGCCGCTACATCACATTGTTGGCTCATGTTTAACTTGTTGTCCACGAGGACTCCAAGATCTTTTTCACACGTACTGCTCTCGAGCCAGGCATTGTCCCCCATTCTGTATCTTTGCATTTCGTTTTTCCTTTCATGCAAGTGGAGTATCTTGCATTTGTCCCTGTTGAACTTCATTTTGTTAGTTTTGGCCCATCTCTCCAATCTGTCAAGATCGTTTGGAACCTCCTTGCGACATCCTCCTTGCAGCAATACCAGAGGCATTCCAAGTGGCCAGATACTGGTCAAAGGACATGTAAACAACTACCAAGCTTGCAATCTTTGTGTTTTGTCTGTTTGTTTGTTTTGTTAAAAATGTAATACAACTGTCTGGTTGCTCCTGACACGATAAATAAATAAAACCGCCTCGAGCCATGTGGAGAGAAATAAAATGTATTATAATTATTTAAAATTACAACTTCCCATATTTTGGAGCTTGCAAACATGTCACGGGAGTCCCTATATCAAGCATGGGCCAACTTGGGCCTTCCAGGTGTTTTGGACTTCAACTCCCAGAATTCCTAACAGCCTACCAGCTGTTAGGAATTCTGGAAGTTGAAGTCCAAAACACCTGGAGGGCCGAAGTTGGCCCATGCTTGATATAGGGACTCCCGTGACATGTTTGCAAGCTCCAAAATATGGGAAGCATGCAGAGAGAAGACACGTTTGCATTGCTCAAGATGCAAAGTCTGAATGGCAAACAGAGAGAAGCTGCTGTTTGCAAAGAAACAGACCATGCAAGTCCCATTGCTCCCTGTTGAGTGGACTTTCAGTGGCCTGCCTCTGCATTTGCTTTGCAGGAAAGTGTGAAGCCGGCTCACAGGAGGAAGGATGACCAAAGGCACCTTCCGTTCTTCTTCCCCTCTCTTTGAGCCTGTTGTTTACGGCCTTCATGGCCCACAAAGCAGGGCTGGATCTGGATGCCTCGTTCATTTGAATGCCAAGCTGGATCCCAGGGATTGTTTTTGGCCCGAAGCAAAGGGGAAAGAGGCGGCACCACCACGGCGCTCTCTCCGGGCCAGCCTTGCTTCAAGGCCTTGGGGGAAAGGATCAGCCAAGTCGGACAGGCAGACGGTTGGCTAAGAGACCAGGAGGAAAACAAACCCTTTTTTATGCTCTATGTGAACATACCAAGTAGGCTCCAAAACAAGGAAAAGTTGACAAGAACTTTATTTAATATGCCCTGTGCATCAACTTAAGAGGGAGGCTTGGTAATCCAAATAACTATTTGTGTGCTTTTCTGCCACTGCAAGATCTAGGGCTGCATCTGCACCAGGCAGGGGCCAACAGTAGCTTGTTAGGAATTGTGGGAGCTGAAGTCCAAAACAACTGGAGGGAGGGTCAAAGTTGGCCCATGTCTGATCAATACTGTAGAATGCATGTATTTTGACACCACTTTAAATGCTTGGCCCAAAGGGAGTTGTAGTTTGGAGAGGTCTTGTTCTAGTATTGTTTTTTTTAAAAAAAACAGAAATGTACAATGAATGCAGTTAGGCATGATTTTAATTGTCATGGTGCAATGGTAAGGAATCCCTGGGAGTTGTAGTTTGGTGAGGTACCAGAGTTCTTTGATAGAGAAAGCAACATACGGAAAATATAGTTTGGTGAGGTAGAAGCGTTCTTTGGTAGAGAAGGCAACTTATAGAAAATATAGAATGAATGCAGTTAGACATAATTTTAATCACCACAGCTCAATGGTATGGAATCCCTGGGAGTTGTAGTTTGGTGAGGTATCAGCGTTCTTTTATAGAGAAAGCAACATACAGAAAATATAGAATGAATGCAGTTAGACATAATTTTAATCACCACGGCTCAATG